TTATGGTATTCCTAACAGTATTTGTTTAAACATCAAAACAAATTGCGAAACAATTCTTTTTCTCTTTACGTATGCTTGGCGAGTGGCGCGTAATTGTACGTGGGGTCGTGCGTATCCTTCAGAGCACGTCGAATAATCTCAGTTTGCTGGTCGAAGGCAACAGAGCGAATGTAAGTAAATGGAGCAGCATATGCGGATCTCGGCGGGCCAAAACGAGCGTTATGAGCAAACACAATGCCCGTCACGGATTTCTTAATCGTTCTCAATCAATCCGTAATATCTATACCGATACATGTCCATTGCATAGGTAGCCATGCATCTTATATGGACATTTACGCGCACGTATCACGTACGTGTTAGTGTTACATATCCTGTATGGGTTCTCGATGTGCCCAGAGCTTACCCCCTCGTTCCACGGGTCAATGGCTCGATGCCTTCCTCGGCTTTGCTCCGCTCTGCTTCGTACCACCTCTTTTCTTTCCCCCTCGTGCCTCCTTCGCATCGTGAGTGGCATCGTCTCCTCCCCACATACGCCGTAGCGGCTCTACTTCGTTCGTGTTACTCTTGGCGAGAGCACCCTGCCGTTTCGGAGACTTCAATGCGCGACAGATCCTCTTTTCCCGATTCTCCTCTCTCTCCCTTCTGACAACACTTCGCTCCCCACCATCTGTCCCCTGCCTACTCTTTCACCGTGCTCGTGCCTTCCCCTTTTCCTCGGCCACGTATTTCCCTGGCCAACAGGTATTTTTCCACCGCCGCTTTTCCTCTCGTACGTATGAACGCTACGTGCGTGATAGGTAGTTACAGTGCTAATTCACTGGATGCATGAACAAAAGTGTCGAGAGACTGATCACTTACACTGAATGAAGAATTTTATTTCTCGCATTTTATAAGAAACTTTCGAATGAAATATATTCAAGAAATGGAATTATTGACTAAATGAACAAAGTAGTAATATTAGTAAGATTAACCTATGTCAATATTTTTAAATCCTTTTCTAATGAATTTAGTCTTGGAAATTTGGAAACATTCATAAAATTAATTTTCATTTTTAGAAAGTTACAAACAATGAATCAAACAAGTTCCTATTATATTATTTATATTACATTACGCATTTTGTTAATTCATTACCGAATATTATTATTATTATTATTAATCTATTATCCATTTTATTATATATTTATATTGCATTATTAATTTACTTTTATGTTAGTGAGAATATATCACTATCAACATTGTAAGAAAGTTATAATTTATTTTATTTAAAGTTCTATGACGTATCACATATGAATTAGAAACCGTGATAGACAGAATTAAAGGGCAATACATATTTTTCATGTTTGAAATTGAGCAATGTCTGAAGTGAATAACGTGTAACTTTCATATATAAAATTGTGCTTTAAAAAGAGCAATAAAGTAATTGTATATAATAATTTATATATAAATAAATAAATATATAAATACTTGAGTGTAACAAATATAACGATTTCATTGAAAATGGACCTTCTCAGCAAATTGCTGGGATTTACTTTGATGATATCTCAATTATTTTCATCAAAAAATAAACGATGGTTTTTATAGCTCGGCTGTCTAATTGAAGACACTTTGTAAGTAATTCTCCCACTGCACTCAGACAATTCTTTATTTTAGTACGAATAATTTTTTTATTGTTCCGTTATTGATCCTGTGGTATAAAATGTATAATTTCACGTCACAATTGTCAGAAGTATATATTATAGTTTCTTTAGTATGTATGTTAGCAGCTATGTATGTTTGCTATATGACTTGATTATATTATTATGCTAAAATTATACATTTATATTAAGCTTTTAAGTATACTGTAATTACATTACATGAGAAAGCAATTAAACATACTATGTTTAATTTTCGGGAAATGCTTACGTTTAATTTGTATATTTTATTAACTAAATTTATTGAACAATATTAATATCAATTCGAATAATAAAATATTGTTATTATATCCTGTAATGACGAATATTTTCAAAATGTGATTTCAATTAAAACGCGATATATACTTAATACATAACTTCCAAAAATAACCTATAAACAAAACAATGCTTTTCAATTTTAATGCATCGATCTATATCTATGAAATTATGTTTTATCCTCGTTTAAAATAAAATCTGCATCGACGATTGTGCAAGAGACGTTCTGCCTGTTCGTAGTACATGTTCCTTTGGCACATGATGAAACTACAACAATGTACTACTCCAATAACGTACCGATGAGATAACATTGAATCATTCTAAGAGGAGTAAATATCCAAGATGTATCATACGTACAGTCAGAATGTTAGGTAAGTAAGTTTCGACGAATTGAAGCACAAACAGTGTTGTATTCACATCCGGAGCATAGGCTTCTTTGAAACGAGCAACAACGCGTGCACAATGGCTTGGAAAAATGTAATTAATGTAATTAATGTAAAGTAGTAGGTAGTGAAGCTGTGATTATTTGAGTAGAATTTCACGGAATGTAGCTAAATGGATTTAAAGGAATAAACAATTTGATGAGCTGGCCAGCATCAAATGATTACTCATAATGTCGCGTAAATATAAAATATATCGGTAGATATTTGTTCTTTACCCAAAGCAATACAATCGTCGTCGTTCTTTTGTTTTCTGATTTTTATCAAGATCTTCACGCTTTCGTTCGCTGTAAGGAGAAAAAGCACTTAGGCTACAGCCGATGGTAAAAGATACTTCCATTGAGATATCTATGAAATTCCTAAAGAACGACATAAGAAAGTTGCACGATCATTGTTCTCTTCTGGAAATCTGTCAAATCAGTTTTCATATAGAACGTTACACAATATGTTAAAGTGAAAAGGAAAATCTCTTTTTATACCTTGAGAAAATAAATATCTTGATATTCTTAAGGTAGTAACTTTTTAGTTTGAAAGTTGATAAGACGAGTTAGTTTCACTTTAATAGGCTAAAATGTTCGTTGCCAGTGTAAGTTCATCAAAGAACAGGACAATAATTATTCTTTTTTACTTTGTCTATCACGTTCTTTCGTATAATCGACGCTGGAATTTTTCATCAAAGGTAATAACTTCAAACGACGCTTTCTTTTTTTTTTCTTCTTTTTAATTATTATTTATTACGTGTAACTACGATTGAAGTGACCACAAAGGCAGCGCTCCGTCTTTGATACAAACATGTATTGGCGTACTGCTCTCTGGATTGGATACAGAAACAAAGTACGAGAAAATGCCTTTATTCCATTTACTCGATATTTACATTCGAGAACATCGACGAACAATCGAAATATTAAATTCCTTTAAAATATTCGCCCGTGCGGTACGAAACAAAAAGACTCGAACCATATCTTACTCATAGGCTGAATTATGAAACTAATAATCGATCGGAATGCGCCCCTTTCATTCATTTCAAACAGCCGATCGTCATGCGATCCTTATTCATGCAAATAGGCATTTTTGAAATTCCATCCCGCGGGCTTAATACATATTGATAAATAACAATGTACATAAGGGATCGACGTATGTCGATACTGCGAATGTATCTTGACCCATATCAACGTGTTTGACTATCGACATTCCAGTTGGCAACGTAACGTCGAGTCTGCTTCTCGCAAATAGAGAGAATATAATACGGAAGCTGGCGGAAAAATTCACCGCGGTTATGTGAGCGCCGCACGCACATAGATATGTTGAATTTTAACATGATTAAGACGCGAACTTGCGAATTCGTAACGTTGAGTTATTGTGCTTTGACCAGTCGTTTGATTTCTTCAGTCCCATGCAAAAATCATTATCGCGTGAGTAAGGAAAGCGATATTTGGATCGATTAATTCTCGGTTTTGCATGCAACTTCTTTATGAATATAACAATACTTGCTGAACTCTGCTTTCTGTTTTATTACGTGTACAAGTATTTTATTATTATCAATGACTGGATTGAGGGTTTTTGACATTCGATATAAAATATCGAAAATAGGAAGTTATTATAATGCTTACTAGATGAAAGAAATTTCAATTTAGTTTCCATTTATTAGTTATATCCATAAAAATTTAAGTAAGGAAAACAGATTTTCTCACTTAGGCTGCATTTTTTTAATTGCTTCGTTCTCCATTGTGATAAGATGTAAATATCATGCTTTAATATGAAGTGGAAGCTTGTAAAACGTTTTAAAAAGAAGACAAGTTTCGTTACAATTAAAGGTATCAAAGTAAAAAAAAAAAAAGAATTTATACAAATATATATCTATAAACGGATATTAATGGCAAAGAGACGTATTCAATATTTCATGATATTCATTATTCATATAACATATTTTGTTACAAATTGTTGAATTTAAAGACGCTAGAATTAATGAAATTAATCAATGTTTCAACGACGAAGTATAAATAAAAAACAATAAATCTAGCAATAATTAAAATTACGTTTATTTTTCGATGAAGATACATTTCAAAACATACGTTTATATCTATATATCTATATATGTCTATCTTCTTTTTTTTTGTCTTATCACATTTTGTCAAAATTTTTTTTAAAACACAACGTATCAGCTTATCCAAAATATTACGATGTAAGATTTTCTGTTACATTAACATTTCATTTATGTTATCAAATTATATTTTTTCACTGTTATATCTTCCATAATTTTGTGAAATCTGAGTAAATCGAAGTACTTTGTAATACCTTAACAAATTACTTGTGTTCAATGAATTTCAGAATGGCTCACAATAAGACATACATTATAGCTCGTTAAAAATATCACGATGTAAGATTTCCTGTTACTTTCATGTTATGTTAACTCGTAATTGTATTGTATGTTTTCTATAATTCTGTGGAATTTAAATAAATCGAAGTTTATGCAGCATCGTAACAAAATTATTGGTGCTTGATA